AAATTATATATATATATATATATATATATATATATATATATATATATGTATGTGTATTTTGTAAATTATTTATACACTATTTAATTTTAAATTAATTTACATGTTTTAAATTGATTACGTAAATAAATAATACTAACGTGCATTATCTATTTTTTATTACATAAAATAAAAAGAAAATAAGATGGACAACTTCTATAACTTTTATCAATAATAATGATTTTATATGACAACAAGGTTTATAATAAAATAATAAGTATTATATGATGAACAAAAATAAGTAAAATTGTTATTTTCTCTTATATCAACGCGTAAATATATATACTAAAATTAAATTTATATTAGTATAGATGTAATAGTGAGATAATATATTAATTACTTTACGAGTTAGTCCTAACATGTTCATATTTAATGTTCTGGCTAAAAAAAAATACGCTAATTAAAAAATGTGAAAAATAGATTATAACTCTATTGCTTTTTAGACTTAATGTTGATTGAAAGAGGTGAACAATAGATGATAATGGTATTGCGTCTTAGACTTAAACGGACAGAGCATGTAAAAATAACTCATTTAATATCTATGTCTCGTGCATCACATCGGGATGCGTACTAGTTTCACTTCATTATAATATTGAATAAGTTTCATGTTATTTTTTTTTTTTTAAAAAAATAATTCAATTACCAAGAAAACAAGTATATGCCCACATATATGGTAACACCATGACTAACAACAGAAACAATATTACTAATTGTTATAGCATCTCTAATGCTCAAATGTTGTTGTGGTAAATCACATGACACATCAACACATTTAGTAATACTACAATTTTTAATCCTCCAATGTATAATGTGATCACAAATGTTGTGGTGACGTGGACATAATTAATATTTACAATGTAGAGAAGAATGTGGTTTATCCACATTCTCTTCCACATTCTATATAACCAATGAAGAGAAGAGAGAGAATTATTTTTACAATTTTCAAGCTATTTAATCAATTTTCTTATTTTTTATTAAAATGTTAATATTTGGTGAATAGATAGTATTGAAGTTAGACTACATTGAAGATGATTTTTTAATTTTGTAGTTGTGAACTTACCATTTTTTCTACATAGTTCATAATCTATTTTGTTTATTGACATTTGTCGTAATTTATTCTACAACAACAATAGAGCATTGGAAATGCTTAATAATGAAAGCTTGAAAAAGCTCTCAAAATATAAAGCCATATATCACTAATTCTAATCACGTAAGCTTGAAAATCACTCAAAATTTATCAAAAGATCCATCCCTTGATTCAAGAAATATATGACAGATGAGTATATCTAGCAAATATTTCATTTATTTACTCAAAATCAACGTATGATGCCATAGGATTCTTTGAATATGTAAAATTTTCCAAA